CCCCCCCCCCATGCTCTGCAAGTACAGTTCCTCTCTGGCTGGTGGGTATAAGAACTCACAACTGGACAGACAGGCAGAGCGGACACTGCCAGCCAGGAAATCCTAGCAGCAGGTAGAAGGCTGGGACCTGGATGACCTGACAGATCACAGTCTGCCTGGGAAAGTGAAGGCCTCCCCTCCCCCCCCACCCCCACCCCCCGTCCCTGCTGCACTGACCCACAGAGAGCGTGAAGCTTCTGGGTCCAGGCATGGTGGCATCCAGCCCAGAGCCTATCCTTCATCATCAAGGGTGTGTCAGAGTTGGGGTGGCTGCATTACCTGCCCCCTAAATGCCCTTGGAACACAGCTCCCCAGTGCCACCGCACCCCACAGGAAGTCCCTCCCCCCCAGCATGTGGAACTGACTGGGTGAAGTTGAGGAACCTGCCAGATTCGCTTAGCACAGTCAGTCTCCTCCTGCTCCTCTCAAGCACCTGATTTCTGAATGTGTGTGTATGCGTGTATGCGCATGCGCGTGTGCCAGTCCTGGGAGCTGTCCCCGAGCTTTTTTGCTCAAGGCTAGCACTCTACCACTTGAGCCACAGCTCCATTTCCCTCTTTTTGGCAATCAATTGGAGGTAAGAGTCACGTGGACTTTTCTGCCTGGGCTGGCTTGGAACCATGATCCTCAGATCTCAGCCTCCTAAGTAGCTGGGATGACAGGTGTGAGCCACCGGTGCCCAGCTCTGCTTTCTGATTTCTTCCTCACCCAGGAAAATCAAGTCAGACCTGGGAAGTCTCAGGCTTCGCCTCCTCTAGTGCTCCAGAGTTTGGGGGGTTTTTGTTTTTCGTTCGGTTGTGCGCCGTGAAGTCTAGGCCTGGGCGCTGTCCATGAACTCTTCAGCTCAAGGCAAGTGCTCTACCACTTGAGCCACAGCGCCACTTCTGGTTTTTCTGGTGGTTTATTGGAGATAAGAGTCTCACAGAGTTTCCTGCCTGGGCTGGCTTTGAACCACGATCCTCAGATCTCAGCCTCCTGAGTAGCTAGGATTACAGGTATGAGCCACTCGTACCCGGCAGCACTAGGGTTTTTGAGGCCTTACTTCTCTTGATCATTCCATAAAGGACTAATTCTTCTGACAATGAGAGCAGACTGATAGCCAGAGAAGTTGTTCATCTGGACCTAGAGGTCCTTTGGGGTCTTCAGCTGTTTCTGGAAAGATCTAAGCTAAGGGCAGACAACCCTGCATCAGCACATAGAATGTCCCTCTCTAAAAGCTGACTCTTTGACCTGTCTCTTCCTTCCCTTCCTCCACCTACAGTGCACCTGCCTCAGAACACAACTTCCCAGAGACATTTGGAGATGGGGTGGCAAAAAGCAAAAGTGGTCAAAAGTAGAGAGTCGTGGCGGGGGAAGGGGGTAGTGGGGAGGGGGAGTGGTTGAAGGCTTGCTTGTCAGGACCCTGGGCGGAGCAAGAGCCATGTAGGGTTAGGAACAGGATGAGGAAGGAGGGAGAAAAGGGAGAGGGAGTTGGGGAGGGTAAAGTTTAGCATTAGGATGGAAGCCAGGACCCTGTGGCTCACGCCTGTCATCCTAGCTACTCAGGAGGCTGAGATCTGAGGATCCCAGTTCAAGGCCAGACAGGAAAATGCATGAGACTTTTATCCCCAGTGAACCACCAGAAAGAAGCGGAGCTGTGGCTCAAAGGTGGTAGAACACTGGCCTTGAACACAAAGGCTCCGGGACGCCATCTAGGTCCTGAGTTCACGACTGACCCCCCCCTGACCCCCCCAAACAGAAGTGTTAGGATGTGCAAAGTGTCTGTGGATCCTGAGGACAGCTTCCCACCAGCAGAGCGGGGGCCTGGGCAGCTCATGTGACCCGATGTGACCACGTGGAGAGAGACGGGGAAGGTGGTTGAGGTCAGAGCCCGTTTTAGAAACTCAGCACCCTTTTATCAGCCGTCTCTCAGCTCCTTGGCAAGAGCTCAGGGACTGGACAGGCAAGACGTTGATCCCGACCTGTAGCTACCATGGACAGGTTCTGTGACCTTGAACAGACTCCCCCCCCCTCCCCCACCTAGTCATTTCCCAGGCCGCCCCAAGTGTTGTGGAAGACTTCAGATGAATAACCCTGGAACTCTTCCATTGTGATTTATTTAGTTATTGTTTTGATCGGTCGTGGGGCTTGAACTCTGGGCCTGGGCGCCGTCCCTCAGCTCTTCAGCTCAAGGCGGGTGCTCTACCACTTGAACCACAGCGCCACTTCCAGTTTTCTGGTGTTTATTGGAGATAAGCGTCTTGTGGCCTTTCCTGCCCAGGCTGGCTTTGAACCACAATCTTCCGATCCCAGCTCCATGAGAAGCTTGGATTACCCAGCTGTTGGGGTCACATTTGAACTGAAAGGCTGGAATGTACCTTGGCCCAGCCCCATGTAGCCTGCCCTGCCCTCCTATATTGGTCCGTGCCCTGCTGCTCAGCACCCCAATGCAGGGTGGGGGGGAGGAGGTGGGGGGTCTTGGGCTGCTTGTGGAAAGCAGGCGGAACCCGCCAGACGGGCTGAGTGAATTTGAAATGTCATTTAGATACTTGGGTGTTTTCTCACTTACGAATGACTAACTTGGCATTTGCGCGTCTGGGGGCATCCTGGGAGGAGGCCCTCCTCCCTCCCTCCCCCCTCCCTCCTCCCCCCCAGGCCGGGCTGGCTGAGTATTATGGGAAGGCACATACGTTGGCCACACAACTTTTGGCAGAGTGGCCCATTCCTCTGCCAGGCAGAGCCCCTCCAGCGAGCAGCTTCGTTAGCTTCCTGTGGGTTGGCAATCAGTTTCCCTCCATGTGCCCAGCTGAGATGGGCGGGCCCTCCACCAGCCTGGACTGAGCTGTCTGCCGATGGCTTCCACCTGCCTCACACCGGCTCCCCCCCCCCAGATCCTACCCAGTTCCCCCAGTAGCCACGTCCCCCACCCATCCCACACACCACACCGGCCACGCCGATCGCTCTCTCGTGGTGACTTGTCCTAAGTGACACTTAACTGGTGTCACTTATTTTGTTCCCCGGCTGCCTGGTCCACTTGAGCCACAGCGCCACTTCCCGTTTTCTGGTGGCTCATTGGAGATAAGAGTCTCATGGACTTTCCCGCCTGGGCTGGCTTTGAACCTCGATCCTCAGATCTCAGCCTCCTGAGTAGCTAGGATGACAGGGGTGAGCCACCAGTGCCCGACCGGGGTCATGCATTTTTATAACTCTGCCCGGGCAGTGGGGGTGGATGGGTGGGAATTTTATTAGTCCACGATGCACCTGTTAGATGCCGGGAGGGGGCGGTGAGGGGGGGGTGGGGGGCTGAGCTAACCCTTTTCAAAATACATCTGGCCCCTGAGATGTCCTGCTGCGTCCCTGATCTCCCCAGGGGCGTGGCCTGGGAGGAGGCGTGGCTCCTGAGCAGGTGGCTTTCTCCCTTTCTTCTACAGGACAAGGATGGGGAACCAAAGACCAAGCAGCTCAGAGAAGAGGAGGAGGAAGGCGAGAAGCACAGGTAGAGTCTGTGGGCAGCTTTCCCCGAGCTGTGCTCAGCCCTGCAGAAAAAGAGATCCCCAACTCTCCCAGTAGACAGGGCCTCCTCCCTCCCTCCCTCCATGCATCCCTCCTTCCCTCCCTCACTCCCTCCCTCCCTTCCTTTCTGTCTTTCTATTTTCTCTCTTTCTCTTACTTTTTGGGGGTGTGTGTATTCAGTCACCGGGTGCTGTCCCTGAGCTTGTTGCTCAAGGTTAGCGCTCTTACCATTTTGAGCCACAGCTCCACTTCTGTTTTGTTTTGTTTGGTTTTTTAGGTTAATTGGAGATAAGGGTCTCACCCCTGGCCTTTCCTGCCTAGGCTGGCTTTGAACCTTGATCCTCAAGTTCTCAGCCTCCTGAGCAGCTCCTTCTTTTATCTTTTTTTTTTCTTGTTAAGCAAGGGGGGGGGGCATTGGTTTGCAGTGGTTAGATGGGCGAGACAGGAGTGAAGGAGAAAAACAGGTCCCAGGATTGACACGAGGCAGAAGAGCCTATAATGAGAAACCCGCAAATGATGATGTGCGCACGTTAATTCAGTCAGCAAGTGCTGACTTCACTGTGGGTCTGCTCTGTGTGCAGACACCATTACAGGTCCTTGGGTGGATGGGGAGGGGCCAGCAGGGGGCAGCAGTGGTCGACCTCCACCCGGCTTTCTGTGGAGGGACACAGAGGAAGTGTTTTTATGGAGGAAGCGTGATGCAGGAAACGCAAAAGTAGGGTGTCAGTGCGTGCGTGGAGCGGGAGAAGCTGCGGTCAGGTCAGCGCTGGGGCAGCAGGGAGGAAACTGGGCTGGGGAAAACTTGGGCTCTCGGTCATAGGTGGTTTTATTTGTAACAAAAGACCAAAGGAAGCCGGGCACCCGTGGCTCACACCTGTTATCCCAACAGGTGGGAGGCTGAGATCTGAGGATTGAGGTTCAAAGGCAGCCCGGGCAGGAAAAGTCCGTGAGACTCTCATCTCCAATGAACCACCAGAACACTAGAGGTGGAGCTGTGGTTTGAGTGGTCGAGCGCTAGCCTTGAACAATCAAGCGCTGGGACAGCACCAAGGCCTCACAGCAGACAAAGTAGGGGGGGGGGGGGGGGAAGGGGGATGGGAAGGTGGCTCAGTGGTAGAGCGCCCGCCTAGCATGCATGAAGCCCTGAGTTCGATTCCTCAGTACCACAGACACAGAAAAAGCTGGAAGTGGTGCTGTGTGGCTCAAGTGGTAGAGCGCTAGCCTTGAGCAAAAAGAAGCTCAGGGACGGTGCCCAGGCCCTGAGTTCAAGCCCCAGGACTGGCAAAGAAAAGGAAAAAAAAAAAAAAGAAGTAGGGAAAATATAGTCCAGGGCTTACACTCAGGCAGTAATACTAGACTTTTTTTTTTTTTTTAAATCAGAACGCGTGGCTCACATAACAGAGTGCCGATCAAACATGGTTTTGAAGTCCTGAGTTCAAAACTTCCTGCCGTTTCCCCCCCCCCCATAATTTCCTTTTGAGAATGTATCTTAAATTCTCTCGCAGGATAAATCTGAACCCATTTCTATGAGACCAGATTCCCATTGGGTAACAGTAAGCCCTGGCAGGTGGCTTTATTCAGGCCAGGTCTGTGGAAAAGGAAGGACGTACCCCCCAAAAGGGCTCCTTTGCTGTCGTCTGGGCTGTGGCTTCTTTGTCCCCGCTAACCTATGGCTAACTTTGCCTGGGCAGTGACCTTGGTGACTCATCCCCAAAGCAGTTCCCTTCCCCAGGCCCCCACTTACTGCCTAGATAAAGTGGGAGGTGTCCTGGAAAGCTGGCACACAGAAAATGGCATCCTTGCCAGCCGCTGCAAACCCCCCCCCCGTCCATGTCCCCCCCATCCCCACTCCCAGTCACGGATCTGGGCCTGGGCACTGTCCCTGAGCTCTTTTGCTCAAGGCAAGCGCTCTACCACTTGAGCCACAGCACCACTTCCGGTTCTCTGGTGGTTTCTTGGAGATCAGAGTCTCACGGACTTTCCTACCCGGGGCTGGCTTTGCACCATGATCCTCAGATTTCAGCCTCCCCGAGTAGCTAGGATGAACAGGCGTGAGTCACCCGTGCCCAGCTTAGCCTTACTTCTTGAGACTTGGAAAAGTCTTTCTACATACTCAGCCCTCGGTTGTGCAGTCATTTTACCCAGCCCCGCCCCAGTATATCCAAGCTCTTTCCACCAGGCAAGCCCCCACCCCCCCACCCCGACCTTCCTCTCCGTGGGTTGGGCCCCAGTGTTGGGGTGTGTCCCAGACCCATGACGTCAGCCTGATGCAGCACCTACTTGCCCCACTCCAGCGGTGTCCAGCAGGGCGGCTCCCTCCTCCTCTTCCTGGGTTAACTCAGCCCTGCTCCGGGCTCTGGAAATTCCCCCCCCCCCCGTGACCCCAAAGCAGCGGCCAACACCCAACTTTGAGAGAAGGCTGGTTGAAGGAAGATGGCGGAAGCTGACTCACCACGTGACAGCCACAGGAACCTGTCCTGCTGTGTGGGAGAAGGGTGGGAAGGCAGCCGGGCCCTTTCTCTCTGTGTGTGTGTGTGTGGGGGAAAGGTCATGATATCTTACGTGGCATGATCTTGGGGTGCTCTTAAAGCCATCTCTTGAGACTGCTCCTGCCCCAGGGCTTAGCACGGTATTTGGGCGCAAGCAGATGGGCGGAACCCCTTAGCTGATGTCACCCAGCTGGAAGATGGGGAGCAGGGTTGGCATGGGGCAGGGGGGGGCTTCTCCTGGGTTCCTCTCTCTGCCCAGCTACAGACGGGGAGATGAAGCCCTTCCTGCTGGGCGTGGTGCTGCTCTAGACCTCGAGCCAAGAACTGAGCTGGGCACCAGTGGCTCAGGAGGCTCGAGATCTGAGGATCGAGGTTCAAAGCCATCCTGGACAGGAAAATCCTTGAGGTTCCTTACCTCCAGTGAACCACCAAAAAGCCCAAAGTAGGACTCTGGCTCAAGTGGTAGAATGGAAACTCCTGTCATGAATGAATGAATGAATGAATGAATGAATGGAGTTAGCCATCCCTCAAAGACGGGTGATCTATAATAGCCATCGGCAACGGTGAGGTTCCCATTTTGTATCATTGTTTGTGCTGGGATTACAGGCAGACCCTACCACGTCTGGCCAGGAGACAGCTTCTGTTGCCCTTCACCTGTCCCATGTCCTAGACAGCCTTGCTGGAGACAGCTAAACAAGGCGGTAACCTCTGCCGACCCGCGAGGGCACCCTTGGGTTCTTGACAAACTCCTCTTGCCTGCTAATAAGCCAGCCACTTCATGTCCTAAAGGACAACATTAAGCAACCAGCCAACAGAAACATCCCTCCTCCTCTTTCCAACATCCGTATTCTCTCCTGACCTTGTACTGTACCTGCACTGGGTTTTTGTCTTTTGGGGGGTGGGGAAGTGGGGTTCTGTGATTGTACTGTCCTGTGCTAGGTTCGGGAGGGTGTTAGTAGCCAGTTTTGGGGGGGCTGGAGGGGGTGGGGCGCGTGCAGTCACCTCAACAGCTGTTTCTCCTTACAGAGCCTGAAACATTTGCACGGCCAAACATGCGCATGCAGAAGGGTTTTGTTTTGCCTGTCGTTGTTTTGTGACTCTTTCCACTGAATAATCTCCCCCAGAGTGGGGTTACCAGGTCAAGGGGTTTGGAACACACGCACAAAGTCTTTGAAGAAACCACCAGACTGGCCCTCTGGAGCCACGCTTGAGATCTTTTTGTCTTTGTTTTCATGGTTTCTAGGACCTGGCCATTGGCCAGCCAGGCCTTGTTATTCATTCACATTAGGTCTCTGTGTGTAGAGCCTTAAAGCTAACAGGATTATGAAGAGGGAGGGGAAGGGGGGAGGAAGGAGGGAGGGAGGGAGGGAGGGAAGGAGGGGACAGAGAATTTTTTCTGGGAGCTTTCTAGCTCCAGGAAAGGCTTCAGGGCTGGGCGCAGTGGCTCTCACTTTCAATCCCAGCTGCTCTAGGTGGAGGGTTATACAGGTAAGAGGCCAGCCGAGGCAGAAAATTGGTGAGACCACCTCTCAACAAGTCAGCTAGGTATCAGTGCGTCACGTCCCGTACCCCCAAGCCACTCTAGAGGCAGAAGAAGTAGGAGGTTTGCAGTCTTGAGGTAGGCCAGGGCAAAAAGCCAAGAGACCCTAGCCAGGAAACAAAGGAATAGAAAAAGGTCTAGAGCATTCGACTAGCAAGCCTGAGGCCTTGAGTTCAATTCCCGCCACCTCAGATTTAAAACCCAAAACCCAGGACTTGTGTGTGATCCATTACTGATCTCTAGAGCCACTAACTCTGACCCAGGGGGGCTGGATGGTCAAGAGCGGGGGAGCAAGGTGGCCAGCTGGGGAGAGCCGTCCCCATGAGCTGCCCTGTCCAGTCTTCTTGCGGCCCCTCTGTCGGGGTGTGTGGCACGGGCTGCAGGACTATAAGGTCCTATAAGGGAGGAAGAAATGTACTGCCCGGGGTGAAGATGGGAAGCGTGAGCTTATGAACCGGGCCAGGGGAAGGGCGGGGAGGAACCTGAGACCCACCTCCGCCAGCGTCCCCAAAGACCCTTCCCACTGAGGTTTCCTTTCCTTCCCAGAACTCTGCTTCCACATCGGGTAGTGTGCAGAGGGCAGCCGCTTTTTCTACCCACTAATCTAGAGTACTAGGCAGGCCTACTTCAGCGCCGAGCAGGTGCTGCTCTTCCTTAGACCCAGGAGGAAAAGCCCAGTAGAGAAATGGCTCAGGATGTCACCCCGATCTAGAAGACAACGCAGTAGAGCGTGCACTTGGGCACGCCACCTGGAGAAGGGGAGGTGGGTTTTGTCTTTCTCCCTGGATCCAGGCTGGGCCCAGGTGAGCTGCACACCGGGTCCCGAGGAGAAAGAGCTGCAGGGCTGAGGGAAGATAAGCTAAGACTGTTGGCTGGCCTGGTTTCCAGAACTCACCCGGGAACTGATACTAAGCTAATCGGGACTTTGGAAAGACAGAGCCGGGAGAGACTAGATGTCGAAATTGCTTTTTTTTTTTTTTTTTAGCTCCCAGTCCTAGGGCTTGAACTCAGGGCCTAGGCACTGTTCCTGAGCTGCTTTTGCTCAAGCCTGGCGCTCTACCACTTTAACCACAGCACCACTTCTGGCTTTTTCTGTGTCTGTGGTGCTGAGGAATCGAACCCAGGGCTTCATGCATGCCAGGCGAGCACTCTACCACTGAGCCACCTTCCCAG